TATTAGGGCAGCACAGTGAACTGTTAGAAATAAAGGTACTGTACAGGTATATTTTTTGTTCATCAAGGTACAAACAATGTAAATGTTCCATTAAAGCAGCAGAAAAAAACAATGGTGTTGGTTTTGGGGCTTTTATAGATGTTTTTCCACGTAAAACATAAGTGACCACAGCACTTCCAGTCTAGTCCTATATAAGCCTCACTTGAAGATACATGAACCAGTTCTCCAAAACCAGTGACTGAGTATGGTTAAGATTTGCTAAGCGCTAAGATTTGGTTGATTATGGGACTATGTAGATAACTTGTATGTATTATTGACTTGTGTAAATATTGTTTTTTTTGGACTGGTAAATTTACCAATTTACCCCTGACTGCCTGCCAACTAAATCACTGGAAAATCCCAAGGTGTTTGTTTGACACTGTACTAACCATCTGTCCTTGACTGTCCTCCTGACAGTTGTGGAGCTGAGTTGAGTTCAACTGGTTCTTTGTGATCGGACTGATAACAGCGTGACAAGCTCAAGTGAATGAAAACTGCAGAATGAGCCAATAACTGGAATGCTTTTCATTCTTATTGGCATGGATCACCTGTACTCTGCATGTTCCCATTGCACTTAAAGTGAGAGTTTGGCACATTCACATCATGCACTCCAAATCAGCCAACACGTTTAGTGTCCGAAGTTTGTTTCATTAGTTTTACACCTGAATCATTACACACTTTTCTCAAACCTCAAAGTAGCAGCAGTAGTAGCTACTAGAAGCCTGAATTTTGTATGTACTTTTGTCCATTTTTACTCACAGCATTGTAGCTCCAGTGTAAAACTAAAAAAAAAAAAAATTCAGACACCAAGCATGGCAGCTCCTATTTAAGATGGTAGGTAATCTGATGTGTAAGGCCTTCTAACTAATGGGAGATCACACTTGGCTGTATCTACCAAGGCACTATGGAGAAATCCTGATCGGACAATCTTGGACGTTTAAAGAATTTAACCCTTTTGTTTTCAGCCAATTACAAAATAAGTGTACTACAGAGTTTAAGTACAACAGGTATGATGATTATACTAAATAAAAAATGAGCAAAAAATTACAGATATGTATATTAGTTCATAAAAATCATTAGGCTTCCATTGGACCATATTGGTCCATTCCACTGGAATGGACCAATATAAATGATCCACCCTCAGCAGAAAAAGCAATGGTGTTTGTTTTGGGGCTTTTATAGATGTTTTTTCTCCATGTAAAACGTAAGTGAGATCAAACCACTTCCTGTCTAGTCCTATATAAGCCTCACTTGGAGCTACATGAACCAGTTCTCCAAAAACAGTGATTGAGTATGGTTAGAGCCTAAAGCGCTAAGATGAACTTCAATAAACACTTTACTTTTGCACTTCCACCTGGACTACGCCTACATGTCCTTTCCCTGTAGGACAAGCACAATGTTAATGTTAGCTTAGTGCTAACAGTCTATTAGAAAACCATAGGGCGCTAGCAGGAATTAGCATTGTCAATGAAGTGGGTTTTATTGCTCATTTTTCAACACTTATGTCCTGAATGATGGGCCTAGCTCTATTAGTAACAGTTCACCAGTGTTCAATGGCAATTATGGTATTTGAGCCTAAATGTGATATTTTCCATGAGTTTTATATACAGAGGTGGAAAGAGCAGGCTAGTGAAAATCCCTACTTAAATAAAAGCACTGTACTGTAATAATAAATTACTTTGGAAGAGAAAGTTTTAGTAAAGGAAATTACTGAAGTAAGACTAAATAAGTTGTTTACCGAAAAACTACTACAGTAATCAAGTTACTTTTTTGTATTTCCGCAACCACAACCTGAAAATATTTGTTGGCTTGCCCACATCACTGAAAATAATCTGTGCAAACAAATCAAAAGCTAAACCTGATACTACATAGGAAAAATTGTGCTGGCATCGTCCTCCACTTTCTTTGTTCCATCAGGGCTGAAGTGGTTTTAGGAGTTGCTGTTATGATTGGCTTTGAGAACTAAATCTTTAAAATTAAACAGGAATTTTCTTTTAATTGCTTTTTGAGCTGAAACACTCAATTACTTTATTAGAAGCTCAAAGATACTGTAATTTAATTCTACTCCAAAAAAGTACCATTACAGAGAAACATGTACTCAAATTGTTACTTTCCACCTCTCCTCCACAGGTCACAGGCATTATTTTATTTATTTAGCACACTTTCCTCATTTTCCACCAAAAATCATCACAGAAATAATAATTTCTCAGTGTCCCAAAGTTCCTGAATCTATCTGACCAATTTAAAAGCTTCTAATGAACTGATTAAACCAACACATGTGCTCCTTGTGTCATTTGAAGTGTTTTTTAAGATACTAATATCTATTTGGAAAGAATGTGTGTAGTAGAAACAGAGAAACAACAGAGATAAAGACAAAATTCCAGTTCTTCTGAACAAAGAACATGAAACGTGAGTTAGAAATGTTATTTTTACAATACATCTTCCTCCTGGTATTACAGAAGAGATCGCTCTCTTTTTAGCACCTCAACACAAATATGCAATACGTACAAGTTTCTGGTTGCCGTGTCTGAATTTGAGGAATGCTTTGTTCCTGTTCTTTGCTCTAGTTAACTTAAATATTATCTGAAATAAAATATCAGACTTCAACTGCCTACATCTTATGTTTTTAATTTCGGTTCACTTCTTATATCAGTGGCAGCTCAAAGTGATGAAGCTTAACAGTCATAGCAGAAACTACAAGTATTAATTTAAAATCATATAAGACAATGACAAATCAAATTAAAGATACGTCGAATTTTAATTAAACGCCAAGTTAAAGAAACATGTTTTTAAATGTTTCGTAAAGTGATTGTTTAACAAAAGCTGAAATTGAGTTCCACTGTTTAGAAGCAGAATAACCGAAAGAGGCCTCTCCATGTTTTCTGTGTTTTTTACGGAAGGTATTTGCAAAAGGCCAGTATCCACAGATCTAAGATCATGTGTTGCAACATCAAGAGACAGGCATTCTGTGATGTAAGCGCATGTTTTAAGACCATTTAACCCCCTAAATGGCCAAAATTTTGTTACACACTTCAGGTTTGGTATAAGAAGCTAAAGAACTGAGCTTCTCATAAAGCATTTTTAGCACCTAGGATCAGTACATTTCAGATTTTTCTTATTCAGCTGTAGAAAATTTTGACGCCCACTGAGAAATATCTGACACACAAGTGGTAAGCCTGTCAACAGAGTCTTGATTATCAAAAGGAATGGAAACATATAACTGTGTGTCCTCAGCATAGCTATGGAAATTGATATTATGTTTCCTTATGACCTTACCTAGAGGTAACAAGTACAAAGAGAAAAGTAAAGACCCTAAAATTTAACCCTGTGGGACTACAAGAGATATATAGTTTTTTTGATGAATCATTTCGCAGTGAAACCAGAAACATGCCCTTGACTCTGGAGTGATGAATCACGCTTCAATATCTGGCAGTCTGACAGACAAATCTACGTTTGGCAGATGCCAGGAGAAAGTTATCTACCAGAAAGCAGGGTACCAACAGTAAAGTTTGGTGGAGGAGGGATAATGGTCTGGGGCTGTTTTTCAGAGTCTGAGCTCCTTAGTTCCAGTGAAGGGTTAGGTTAATGCCACAGCATACAAAGACATTTTAGTCAATTATATGGTTCCAACTTTGTGGCAGCAGTTTGGGGAAGACCCTTTCTGTTCCAGCATGACTCTGACTCTGTGCACTGAGCGTAATCTATAAAGACATGAATTGACGAGTTTGCTCTGGAGGAACTCAAAGTGGTCTGCACAGAACCCTGACCTCAACCCCACTGGACACTTCTAAGATGAACTGGAATGCTGACTGCAAGTAAAGCCTTCCTGTACAACATCAGTGCCTGACCTCACAAATGCTCTTTTGACTAAACAGACACAGTCCAAAAATTTTGTGGAAATCCTTCCCAGAACAGTGGATGCTGTTATAGCTCCGTGGTAATGCCCATGGTTTTGGATGGGATGTCCAACAAGCTCATATAGATGTGATGCTGTCTACATATATTTGACCACATAGTGTATTTTAACAAATGTCAACAAAACATATTTCCAATCTGCAATATACATGTAAGTCTTGGATGTTTTTGCAGGAAATCACATGATATCGTTATGTCATTAATTTGCAAAGATTTTGTTAAACACATTTTCATTTTAAAGCTTGCAAAATGTGCGTAATACCAGTGGAAACCACCAAATTTTAGAAGAATAGTAGTGCACCCATGTACCCCTAGCCCAACACCGTACCCCAAGAAAATAAAGGAAATGAAAAAAATATAATGTACTTATTATGCTGTATATCTTTATGTGGATGGTTGGTCTGCATTTAAGGGTTAAGCTGCTAAAAATAAAGTGTGCTTTCAATGTTTTGATGAAGTTCAGTTTTGATGAAGTTCAGTGAGGACTAGACTTAAACTTGGGCCCAATCCCATTTCTTATTTTTACCCTTACCCCTTGTTTTCAAGTGTCACATTGCCCCTTGCAACTGAATTACAAGAGGTAGTGGCTGAAATCTTCCCTATGAAATGGGACCCTCAAATAAAGAGAACATTGCTTCATTAACAGCTACTAGCGCTGCTCTGTAGGTGACCCTGCCAGTCTGCAGTGATAGCAGAGGAGGGTAAAGTTCAGCTCCTCACTGCTGTGCTTTAGTTACATTTAGGGAATTATATGTCTTCAAAGAGGGACCATTATTCATTACCGCCCACCCCTAATGCTTTGGTGATATGAAGCTGAAGTCAGACATTCGCCAGCTTCTTGTTCGAATTTTCCTGCTCCACCATAAATGGTGGAACCAACATTTAAGGTGGAACGAAAAATTTGGCTTGCTAGCTACCAAGACATCAGGATACTACTAGGGGGTTTTGATGCTTGTTATGAAGAAAAGGACCATAATACAATGAAACAACATTAATCTAACACAATACAATAGTTATCATAATTTTATAACAGAGAAAACACTTACATTTGTGTATTTCTTTGCTTGCTTGTGCAGCCATCTTGCCGGTACACCCTACCCTATGCGTGACTGTGCAAAACGGAGGGTGTGAGGGCTAAGCGGTAGGGGCGAGGGGTGAAATGGGATTGGGCCTTGGTCTCTGTTCAAAACAGTTAGAGGGAAATTTAAAAGAGAAAAACTTTTTTAAAATATCAAACTATATTTACTGTCATTTTCACAGAAATGGCTCAACAAATGGTTGCTTGGAAGTTACCTATTGGCTACCTGCTTTGGTGAGCTTACCTTGTTTCATGTCTTCAGTGGCATCAGTAAAGGAAGAGGTGCTGCTCTCTCTCTCCCTCAGAGACCGCTTCTAAATAAAAGTGTGTGTTTTACAGGTTAACTGCTGGGCTGAGGCTGAACTTCATTATGTTGTCAATGCAGAAACACTGTGTGTTACATTAGCTATTTTTAAAAAATGCCTACTTGCTGTATTAAATCAAATCCTGTGCTTGTTTATCAGCTTGTGCTTGATACAAATGACTGCAAATGAAGCTAATCGCTAGCTAGCTAGCTGGTACACATTACTACACCATATTTACAGTCTGGCACTTCAGGCTCACCTGTTTTCTGAAGAAAGAGGTCAGAATTTGCCTCTTTTTGCTTTCTCTCTGTCTCTCTCTGTTCATTTCGTTTGCGAAATACTAATTTTGGCTTCATTTTAAATGAACTGAACAGCCACTAACTGCCACTTATAGCCAACAAATTGCCGGAGGATCAAACCACCTTTATTTTTGAGGGGTGGATAATGGAAACAACAGGTAGATAAGCAGACATTGAAAGATAACCGTAGAAAATACAGTCTAGTATTGTTTATTAGTATAATAACTTAGAATATAGAGTATGAAAACTAAAAAACTATTTATTTCTGAGTATTTCTGTACCCCCACCCCCTGCTTGTTCAGGTCCCCCTGAACCTCTCTATTGCCACAATTGAAGAGAAACCTAGTGTGGATTAGGGCTACTATGACTGGGCAGTCAAAGTCAAGCTGAAGCCAAAATTGACCTTTTATTATCGTGTTACGTCGTCTCTCTTGTCATACTGAGCATGATTCACCATGCCATATCATTAAAAATACATATTAAATATTCCATGTAATGACTCTTCTGATTTGATGATGTCACCATGCACCAGACGGTGGGGAAAATATAATAACCGATAATATCAGGTTTTACTTCCTCCTCCCACCAACTCACCAGTCATAGAAGGAAACCCTCGGCTAGCTCAGAGACCCTCGCTGATATTGCGTCTCACTTAGAAATACATGACGACATATTTGACTTTAAATTGACAAAAAGAAAAAGAAGAAGAAAAGTTGGCCTATAAGCCACAGCAGAGCAAAGCGTCTGACTTCATGTTTACGCTGTGAATGTTTAAACTCCCTGTACAGACAGAAGTGGTACCAAAGTCTACACAGCAGTGGCTGGTGTCGCACTTTCTCAGCATATCTATGGGTTAATATGTGCCTCTGTTTGGCAGGATCAGTGGGAACTTCCAGCACAAAGACCTTCAAATTACAGCTGACCTTAAGGCTACAAAGACTTAAGGCTTGGCGGCGATAATTTATCTTCATTGTGATAAATGACCTCACAATATGTTTTTCTGAACATATTGTGGTTATTGTAAGTACTTCTACATCACAGACCAATACGATGAGAGCATGTTTAGTCCTGTTTAATTGGGTTTAGTTCAGTGCAGTGTGTGAAATGTTAGATAAAAGTCATTGTATTCACAGTTTTTAACAATATTTTTAAATGTGGCACCTTTGGTTCTTTTGTTTTGTCTGTTCCAACTTATTAGATATCAAAAAATAATATCATGTATCATGAATATTTCATGAAGTATCGCCATATTGTATTATCTCATTATCAATATCAACAGTATCAATACTGATACTTTTGAAAGTGTTCTTGTGCCTGTAAAATGGTGAAATCTTACTGGTTCCTGCCCTGAAAACCTGTAAAAGTGGAAATCAATGAATTATGTTTCAAAGTCTCTGCTTTAGTGTTATATAAACTGATCAGTGTAATGAAGTAACTCCACATGATCTGTTGTCTCATGTGGCCTTCTGTGATTGCACATGTGTAAAGTTAAAGTTGTGGAAAAGTTTGGACACCCCTGGTCAAACTATGTTTTGTTGATTTTAGAAGTAAAAATAAGCCAACACATCCGCTACAGAGAATAGGCTTCTGTGCATTTTAATGCAGAATTACATACAAATAAATAAATAAATAAATAAAGATAAAGCCTAAAATGTGTCTAACATGCTAAACTCAGCAAATAAATAGAAATTGTGCACTAAAATTTGCAGAAAAATGTCATTTTTAAGTTACTTGTAGAGGGTGTGTTAACTTATTTTCACTTTGAAAATCAACATTGACTGTATGGGTGGAAGGAAACGAAGTACCTGTCCATTCCATTATTTATATATATTCATTCTGCCTCAAAGCAAGTAGGGCCTGAGTTCATCTCCCCGGCTGGGTGGCCAGGGTCTTTTCTATGTGGAGTTGCATGTTCTCCCCGTGTCTGCGTGGGTTTCCTCTGGGTGCTCCAGTTTCCTCCCACAGTCCAAAGACATGCAGTCAGGCCAGTTGGACACGCTAAACTGCCCCTAGGTAAGAGTGTGTGTGGGCATGTGCATGTCTGTCTGCCCTGCAATGGACTGGTGACCTGCCAAGGGTGTTTTCTGCCTTCCGCCCAATGACTGCTGGGATAGGCTCCAGGCCCCCCCCATGACCCAGAAGGATAAGCAGCTAAAAAATGTGTGTGTGTGTGTGTGTGTGTGTGTGTGTGTGTGTGTGTGTGTGTGTGTATATATAATATACACCAATATACACATATACACACCTATCAGGCATAACATTATGATCACCTCCTTGTTTTCTATGCTCATTGTCCATTTTATCAGCTTATATATATTAAAACTTACTATATAGGTGCACTTTGTAGTTCTATACATAGTAAGTGGAGCTGATAAAATGGACAATGAGCATAGAAACAAGGAGGTGTATATATATATATATATATATATATATATAATATATAATATATATAATATACAGTTTATACAGTTTATTGTTTCTCACTACTGCTTAATGGGGAATTAAAGGGGATTTTTTTAATAATCATACATGATTCAATATGTAAACAGTTGTGTAGCTCTATGCCTACCATAAAACAATGTCCCAGGCAATGTAGTTATAACCATTTCATGTAACAAGGCAATAAACTCTTCAGACGTCTGGTTACATCTGAAGATTTAACATATATTAAATTATATAGGGTTGTATATGTTGCCTGATGATTGTAACACAACATCTTAGTCATCAAGCAACACATATAACTTTCTGTGAGGGAGCTTTTAGAGATGGTTCCTATCACCACCAGTGTGAACAATTCTGACTGGGTACATTTCTCTAGAACAGAGCATTTCACACCAAACCACTCGTAATGACTCTGTTTATATGTTAACCGTCTAATTCCCTCTTTAAGAAAACACTCACTGTTGATATTTTCAGGTGAGAACCGATTCTGTGAAAGAAACGTCACGATTGGACGCATCGATACCTCAGTACTGGTGTTGACCTTGCCAATTCTAAGGTGTGCATTTTGTGGAGGCCTTGATTTTTACCAGAGAGGCTCTGGCGACTCTGCAGGTCACAGTGCCTTTATAAACTAACTCCCAGGAGCATTTTTATCAGCACAATACAGCCAGAAACACAGTCAACACATTCCAAAAATGACAAAAAGGAATGGAACAGTAAACCTAGTGGGCGTAGCTCTAAGTGGTTTTCACTTAGATGCTATTTTTAGCCCTGTTGTTTGAGGAAATATCAACCATATGATATGGTTTTACAAGGTTACAGATTTATGAAAGTTCAGAGGGTCAACGCAACACCTACGTCAATCCATATTCTATTTTTAGCACACCTTATTTTAGCATGGGTCTTCAGTCATGTCTACAGTTACAAATGACAACATGACCTTTTGCTATTCTACATATATATCAGGAACTCTGAAGTCCCCAGTTTCAGACCAACCACCTGATTTCCATATCATTTATTTGACACAATCATACACGTGCATGTTTTTAAACATTTCAGGCATCACATTTTACTTTGCATAAAAAAACACTGCTATTGAAAAACTCCTGGATAAATACTTTGCTTGTTTTATAGTTTGTGTTCATGTTTATGGTTTTGCTCCATGAAACTGTGTGTTGTGTGTTTGTGTTGCATTCACTTGTTCTTATCAGTGTGTGTTGTAAACAGTACAATACAGTAAAACTTCTATCAGCAAAATCTCCAGTGTATAACAGAAAAATTATGTAAATGCAATTACAGTTGCCAGTGATATTTCCAGTATAAATGACAGTCTTATTTCGTTGATAAAGCAATAACTATTATAATAAAGCAGAATAAAGCATATTATAACAGTATAACTAATGATAAATGCAATTATAGTGAAAGTCCTTTAATTGTTTTGCATTAATTCCAGAGGTGGGAAAAACAATCAATTCTTGGATGCATCGCAGTTCTCTCTTGAAAGATTTTGAATTGATTTACAAAACATTATAATTTGTAATGTTTGCCTGCTTGCAGTCATAAATTGATGTGTACATGAAGTAAAGGGCCTGAAATCATAGTAAACCTGTCTTATGTAAGAACGCAGCTTTGATTTACAACCAGCTCAGGAGATGCTATCTGGCTCATGAGCTAGTGCAGTAAACTTCAGAGTTAGGCCGTGTTCAGAGGAGCACTTCAGTACCCATTAAAAACAAACATCTTTTCACTGATTTCAACTAGAGGCTCCGGACATGTGGCTCCGGAGCCGCATTCGGCTCTTTTACCGCGCTGTTGTGACTGCACAGCAGAATCAGATTTTAAGTTTAAAAATAAAATAATCCTCCTTTTCAGTAAAATAAAGCTCTGCTAATCGTTCAACACGGTTTTCACAATAAATAAGGACAAAGAGAAAGATTTAAGATGACCATCGATAATTTGGAGATGAATGGGCATGTTTGGGGCAGCACGGCGGTGCAGTGGGTAGCGCTGTCGCCTCACAGCAAGAAGGGCCTGGGTTTCGATTCCCGCCCGGGCGACCGGGGTCCTTTCTGTGTGGGGTTTGCATGTTCTTCCCTGTGTCTACGTGGGTTTCCTCCCACGGTCCAAAAACATGCATTGGACTTGCTGAATTGCCCCTAGGTATTAGTGTGTGTGGACTGTATGTCTGTCTGCCCTGCGATGGACTGGTGACCTGTCCAGGGTGTATCCTGCCTTCCGCCCAATGACAGCTGGGATAGGCTCCAGCACCCCACCGCGACCCAGAAGGATAAGTGATGTATGTAGGGTTGAGATGATGTATGTATGTATGTATGGGCTTATTTGCATTTATAATCACTCCAGCTGGTTTCCTGATACGTTTAATCTGCAACAAGAAACTGTCAAACACTAAAAGGTCACAAAGCTATAAAGTCAGTTTCTTGTTCTCCAGCATCTTGTTTGAATTTTTCTGTTCCACCTTAAATGGTGCAGCAGTTACATTCTGGCGTAACTGTCCAGGCACCATTTAAGGTGGAATAGTAAAATTCGAACAAGATGCTGGAGAATGAGAAGTGACTTCAGCCTCGTAAGAAGTCAAATGTTGAGAGACATTTTACAAGAAACTGTTCTACTTTTGAGGAAAAGTTTCCTGCTGGAGATGCGAGAAAAGCGGCTATAGCTGAGTTAAAGCTTAAAGCAGAGAAAAGTAAGTCTGCGTTTTTGTCTGGATTATGACATAATCAGTAACACTAATAATAATGCAATCATGACACTGTTGTATTACTGAACAAAATTGGTACAGCATATGATATGTGCATGACATGTTTATGGCATGGTTATGTCAGTGTTATGTAGTAGGATTCAAGCAACATGTTACCAAGATTCCCATCCCTAATTATTTACAACTTACAAAGTGACATTTCAATAGTCCTCTTTAAACTGTCTGCATAATGTGAAATCAGAAGTTTTATGTGGCCTCGTTTGACATTACATAATCAAATAATTATGTACAACTCTAGTAATCAGACTTACTGGTTTACCGTTTCTGTAACCTTCATCCGATGTCGTTATACTTTTTTGGTGTACATCACCCTGAGGACATTATAACCGGTTTAGCCATTTCTCCATAACTTGGCAACGCACCAGATAATCACCCACTACAAAAAACAATAGTCGTATGCAAAAGTTTGGGAACTTCTACTACACGTTTTGACAGATTTTTTAAGTGAAAGTAAGTGAACACATCCTCTACAGAGAACAAACTTCTGCACACTTTAATGCTCAATTATGGTTTATTTAACCTGTAAAACACAAAAAGTGCCCTGTGCAAAAGTTAGATCTTATATTTTATGTTTTATTTTTTTACATTACTCAGCAAATAAATAGAAGTTGTGCACTAAAATTAGCAGATTTAAGTTTGCTCCCTGTAGAAGAGATGCTAACTTATTTTCACTTAGAAACTCTACACAAAGTGCAATGTGACAGAGGCTGTACGACTGTAAATATGCCTCGTTTTTACATGGATTAAAGTTATGCAATACTTACATTAAGTAGATCGACTGTTAATATTACTTCCATTACACAAAACCTAAACTTACTAACCTTACCCAAAACCTAACCTTCACCCTGGCCCTAATCCTAACCCTAACCTTAACCTCAGCCCAAAAACTAATCCTAACCCTAACCCTGGCCCTAAAGGACCCCTATAAATAAAGTGTGACCACCACAATCACATCGATCGTGTCTGTCAACATGATCTTTCTACACACTCCTGTTTCATGGCTAAGATAATATTTGCTGACAGAAAGAAGCTTAAATGAAACGAAAGCATTTAGAGGACTGAAAGTGGCAAAACAAATGCCGAAGACATTCATTATAGCAGTCGGTGCATATCAGCCGCCTCTGACTGATGTGCTCTCAGTGATAAACTTGAATGTTTTGAATGGTGGACATCTGTACACACTGAGATTGCTTTCCGATGCTGTGTTTCTAGTTCACTCAGCTGAAAAATTAACACTGTACTTTTCTCCAGATCTCTGACATTGATTGAGCAGAGCTCTAGAAGAGATTAGCAGATTTGGAACATTCCTGAGGTTAAACTGCAACCCTGCTTAAACAGGTCCCTGTGCACAGCAGGTGGAATGAGGAAATTGGACCAAGAAAAGCAACCGTGCTTTTCACCTGCTCGCACGGAGGCAGGGCCACTCATACCCAGATGAACCGAAGCCCGAAAAAACACACTATCCTTTATATACCATGTGATCAAAGGGAAAGTCCCCGCAGGCAAAGCTCTCATAAAACTTCGACTGGAGATCCAGGATCAGAGCAGAAGTGAGAGGAACGTTAGAGGAACGTTAGAGAAGCGAAGTAGAGCACCACGGCCATGGATAAGCTTTGCACTGGAGCACTGTTGTCTATTCTCATCCTCAGCACCTTCGTCCCGGAGACGCAGACTGGTGAGTTTGGCAGAGGATTTGGAATAATGAAATAGGAAAATTCACTTTTAGTTCCTTAAATAGCCTTTTAGTTCAGCTCCTTGACATCTATATCTTATTTAACAAAGCAACAAAAAAATCAATTTAATTTTCAAAAAAAGTATGAAAATCACATGCATTCAAAACAACTAAAGTAGATACTGTTAGATGCTTAAATAAGATACAAGTTCCAGAAATTTGAAATTTGGCACATCATGTTGTTGTTGGACATAAATGTGATAAAATCTAAAATCTATTATTATTATCTATTAAGGTTCTTTAGGAGACTCTTTTACCTTTTTTAGTGGGTCTTCAATGGGACAAAGCTCTTAAAACACTCTTAAAGATAAAAGATCCATTTTTGGTTCCCTAAAGAACCTTTCGATGACTGGTTTGTCTTTTGCAAATGAGATGTGTGAAGTTTAAAGAACCTCATAATGTAAAGATTATTGAAAGAACCGGTAAAGAACAGTTACATTACGTGAAGATCCTTTAAACCTTTAAAAGATTCTTCATGTGCACAAATCCCAAATTTATCAAACATGGTTCTTTAGGGAAGGAAAAGGGTTCTTCTACTGCATAACTCATAGACTCATTTTGGCATCTTTATTTTTGAGAGTGTGTCACTCCAAAGAACCAAGACCTTACTTTTAAAGAGTGTACAGCTATATGCAAAAGGTTAAATTACATTTTGTTTATGTTTTGCATTTTTCTGCTAATTTTGGTGCATAATTTTTATTTATGTATTGACCTTAACATATTGGAAATATATATATATATATATATATATAATATATATATATATATATATATATATATATTTTGCACAGGCCAGGTTTCATGCTTTATTTTTCCCACAATATGTTAAATTCAAATAAACAGAAATTGCACATTAAAATGCTCAGAAGTGTGTAGAGAATGTAGTGTATTAGTGTGTAGAGAATGTATTAACTTATCTTCACATAGAAAATCAGCAAAACATGTCATTTGACCAGGGGTGCACAAACTTTTGAATATAACTCTAAGCCAGAATATTCCAGAATATAAATAGAAGAGACTGTAATATGTTAATTGACCTTTTCTGTGGGAAGATAAGGTCTGATTATGATGTGATAATGCAGCATTGGTCTTTATTTACCCCTAATTTGCATATAACACTATGTCATTAATACATTCCAGAATATAAATAGAATAGATTGTAATATGTTTATTGATCTTTTCTGTGAGACGATAAGGTCTGATTATGATTTAGTAATGCAGCATTGCTCTTCAGTTACCCCTACTTTGCATATCATCATTGTCCAAAGAAAAACAAGTATCTCCAAAATAGTAACTTTACAGGAGAGGGCAAAAACACTCTTACCTTTGACTGCAAGTTAATGTAAAGAGATTTTATTCCAAGTGATTTTAGAGCATTTCTATTGGTCCATTCATCATGAAATTTTCACATAATGTAAAGGACAGCTGGTGTGTTAAAACAATGTCGAAAAATAAAAATCGACAAAAATGGAGATGCATGGTTTTCATTGGACAGCGGTGATAGGTTGGTGTTTCTGTACTAATACACTGTATCCAATGATCAGCTAATATAACTCATTTGATTATGTTAGAGTGAGAAAAACGCTGTTGCCAACTTACTGGATTTAAAACAATGTGAATTATCTCTGCATTATAAATCTGTAACATCTAAATTGCAGGCTGTCCACCACTAAAGTCATCTTCTCTGCCCTCACAGCAAGATGCTGTCTCCAGTACAAAAAGATACCTGTCCGCTGCGCCCATCTGAAGGGCTACGCCATCCAAAACACCAAAAGACACTGTGACCTGAGGGCCATAATGTGAGTGTTTAACCAACCGGAGAGAAACACGGCAATTAGCCGAATTACTGTTTTTACGTTTTTAAATTTACACATTTTACTCTTACCCCAAATGTAATCAGTCAACCACGACACTGGTCTGAAGTTTACTTCTTTAGTTTTGTACGGGAGCTGTGAGACTAATATTGCCACAATGGAAGGTTCTAGTCCAATCAGCATTATGGTAACAGTATGCCTAAATCATGATACCCTTTGCCTCAAACTGCACTGAGTTGTTAAGTAATCTCAAATAGACTTGCTTATGGTTTCTGACCCTTTCCCTGCTGAAAAAAGACCTTTGTTTTATGCTGGTCTGGTGCTGCTTTAGCATGTCCAGCATGGGTGACCAGCTAAAGCAGCACCAGACCAGCTTAAACTGACCCAGACCAGCACAGACCTTTGCTGGTTTACACTGGTCACCCGTCATCATGCTGGTTGACCATTTTTTTTCTAACAGTATGTCTGCTAGAAAAAAAAACAGCAAAACACAACATATCGCTGCTGTCGGAAGAAAACTTCGTTTTTCGGTTTTTGACATAATTTGAAAATACTTCTTGGCATTTACATTGTTTGTAAATTTCATGATAAATGGACCAAAAGAAATGACCTAAAATGACCTGGAAAAACGTTTGGTTCCATTGACTTACATTGAAAGTAAAGAAGGTTTTTTCCTTCTCCTGTAAAGTTACCATTTTGGAGATATGAGGTTTTCTTCCGACAACAGCGATATGCTGGTTTTGCTGTTTTTTTTTCTAGCAGACATACTGTTAGAGACAAAAATGAAATTCCAGTCTTCAAAATTGCTGCCACTGTTTTAGCTTAATCCAGTTGAACCATGTGTCAAACAATAGGCTAAACGTGTTAGCACAGTACTAACTGGTGAGGCCCATGCTTCCATTACTTGTTAGCTACATTAGCCTCATGGCTTCAGTGTAAAACTAAAGAGGCAAACTTCAGACACCAAACATGACTTGACTGACTACATTTAGTGTAAATTAGATTTCTTTTTGGTTGAATCTTCTTTTTAACATAACAAGAAATCTGATACGGGTTGACTCGGCTGTTGATCACACCCGCTATCCCTTTCTTTTTCTGCAGCTTTCAAACCACGAATGGCAAGTTTTTCTGTGCCGACCCCCTGATGCAGTGGACCCAGGAGAGGGTCACATGCCTAATGTAAGTGACACTCTGAAGTCCTCAGAACAGCTCTTAGCAAATCTACTTTTCAACGTGCTTTTATTTTGAAGTCATGTCTGTGTATTGCCTCTCGGTTTAGGCTATATGTCCATATGTCTTGTATGACTTCTGTTAAAAAGAACTTTCTTTTCTTAGGGAAAAGGCTGCAAGGATGAAAAACAGAGAAGCTTAATTTTTGAGGGCGTAAGGCAGCTGAAACAAAAACGAGTCCTCCTACTATTCATGCTGAATAACAATAAATAAGCCTGTGGTTGGATGATGTCTTTGCTGTCCTGTCCTTCGCTGTCCTGGCCTGAGAGCATCTTAAAGATGTGCTGTACTATTTTGGTTATGGCTTTTTGAACAGAAAAATGACTCCTGGTGGGAACTGCCAGTCATGTCTTAATGACAGATTATGTACTCTCATACTCAGAGGATGTTTTATAATGTTTTATTTGTTTGTCTGCTTTTTAAACAGAAGATGTATATTTTGTTTTATATTTTTGTGTTTATTCTTTCATATTTATTAATGCACATTTGTTAAATTGCTAAGGAAAATGTGGTTCTTACTACAAATAAAATATTTTCTTGCATAGATGCCCAGCGGTGAATTAACATGTCCAGTGTGCATTTGCGCTGGACACTATAGGTCGGTTTCCTGGACAGGGATCAAGCCTCTATTCACAATGCTGTAGTCTAGGACCAGGCTTAAAGGAGAATTCCACTGATTTTTCAAAATTTCTGCATAGTTGAATTGTTAAGATGTGAACAAAGTCATTCAGATTGCCGTTCCTGAGAAACATACAGCGTCAGAATTGTTCACAGTGTTGGTGATAAAACCACTATTACATCTCAACGACTGAACTGTGCAGAAATTTGGTGAAATTGCTAGGTAAGCAGCCATTTAAGTGGAAATTTAATAGTGTATTTCGTTTCTGTCCAGAGAAAACCATGTATCTCCATTATTGTCGTTTCATGATGAATGGACCAATAGAAATGCTCTAAAATCACTTGGAATAAAATCTCTTTACATTAACTTACATTAAAAGTGAAGAGTGTTTTTGCCCTCTCCTGTAAAATTACTATTCTGGAGATACTTGTTTTTCTTTGGACATTTTTTTTAATTGTATTTTTTAATTTATTGTTTTTTATTAGATTTTTTGGTGGCAGGGGTGGAAAAACATGAGTAACTGTAGATTTTTTTACAATTCATTTCCTGTACTACATATATATGTATATGTAGTAATATATGATATATATATATATATATATATATATATATATATATATAATAAACAATACACAAACAAACAAACAAACAAAAAACATAACACATGTCCTGATTCTTCATTTTCTCTGTTAAAACACTTATTTATTACCTGCTCATACTGGAGTCTGTTTATATGTTGATACTTTCTGATACTGATTATGTTGATACTTTTCACTCGAGTCATTTTCTGTCTCTGTATTTCCACCTTTAACTGAGAGATTTTGACACAGTACTCATGTTTCCACTGAAATACAGTTCCTCTGTACTTTTTCCACCCCTGCTGTGTAGACTTTGCCACAATGGCTGCAGTCTGTGACCCAGTGAACTCATGTGAGTTCTCTGTTAACTGTGCTCTTCTCATGATCATTGTGAGTTATGGATATTTTGTAGGTTCTCTGTGAGGCAGTTTTGTGACAATATCCACTGAAATAAAAAAAGACAAAGACATTTTCTATTTGCTATTATTCTCTGACTTTAAGGTCATTTGCATTCATCTGAGCAGTTTTGTATTTAGTGTCAGCATTAAGAGAAGACTGACTGATCCGCAACTCACCACCAGGTGGCGCCACTGACGCGCTAACAAGAGACCTGCTGGATAATATGCATTTCAAATGGAGGGGAGTAGATGACCTTTTGTTTGTTTGTTTTTCACCAAACAAAAACTTTCTACAAATATGTAAATATTTAGATCGCTAAAGATTTTAAGCAAAACAAATAAAAAAACAAACAATCACTGCTGTCACAACAAAAAAATCTCCATTTTTGTTGTTTTTCAGTTTTTGACATATTTTGAAAACGCCTGTTTTCCGTCACATTGTATGTAAATCTCATGATTAGTGGACGAAAAGAAACGGCCCAAAATGACCTGGAAAAAAGTCTGGTTCCATTGACGTACATTAAAAGTAAAGTATGTTTTTTCCTTCTCCTGTAAAATTACCATTTTGAAGACATGAGGTTTTGTTCCAACAGCAGCGATATATATATATATGTGTGTGTATATATATTTACTCCTCCGGAAATGTTTTGTTGATTGCCTAATTTCCGGCTTCCTAGCTTCTTTATTTGATTTATTTCTTTGGTATCTTTGTTTTTCTCTTCCTCTTCCTTTGTTGTGACTGTTAGAGAGAGTTTCAAAGTGAAGAACGACAATAGCTGTTATGCAGCGACGCTTTAGATAAACCAGCCTGAATCTGTACAGGCCTCCTAAACACAGTAACACACACTGAGCTCTTTATCATGAAGGCTCGGCGTGTTTGGAGCTGAATGCTGTTTCATGAACAACTACTCATCTATACTGCGTTATATCCTAGTTGTTTGAACAGGTCTTGGCCAACTTTTCCTTTGGGTTTTGAAAAACACATTTTGTCAAGAACAGGCTATGATGGCTAATCATGGCACAGAATCGGGCCAGATTCAGTTTCTGGAACTCAGCTACCTTTAATACTACTACTACTAATAATAATAATGATAATAACTCAATGTCCAGCTTAGAATTTCGATCTGGTCCACATATGGCCCAGGAATGGCCCAGTGCTTGCACTTCAAGGGTCAACTCTGACAGAAGTGGTTTAAAAGTGGCAGTGTGTGTCTTTACATTGTGTGAGAATATCATAATGAATGGACCAACAGAAATGATCCAAAAATCCTTTTATATTAACTTGCCTTAGAATTTAAGGACGTTTGCCTTTTCCTGGAAAGTTACTATTTCGTAAATACGTTTTTTTTTGGTTGTTTTTTTGGGCAGTGATGATATGTGGCTTTCCAGATGGTTCTGTAAGGCATGATGGAGCCTGTTTTGTCAATTCACAGGCATGTTTTTAGGCCTATAAATAGCTACGTGAAAAGAAGAAAAACATTTTGTTTTCTAGTTCTGCACAATAACATTACAAAGAAACCCAAAAACAAAGAGAAGGAAAAGATGGTTTTCAGTCTGGAAAGGAGAAAGGTGGGACACACGTGAGTGGTCACATGAAGCTGTCTTGTGGAAGATGTAGCCTGTGAGGGCTGCAGTCTTTGACCCCTGCTCTAAACTGTGAAATGGGCCAGACTAATACATACACTATGTGTCCAAAAGTTTGTAGACACCTGCTCATCCAAATTATCTTCTGAAATGAAGGGTATTAATAGGCAGTTTGTCCTCCTTTGCTACAGTAACAGGGTCTACTCATCTGGGGAGACATTACACTAAAAATGTTGGAACATTTCTGTGAGGTTTTGATTGCATTTAACCACAAGAGCGTTAATGAGGTCAGGTACTGATGTCAGATGATCAGTTCTGGATCAGTCCAGCTCATCCCAAAGGAATTGGATGGAACTCCATCACTCCAGTGAATGCAGTTCCACCTTTATACCCCTCTAGTCTTCTGACCCTCATACTCATGTGCAGCAGCGGAGTGTCCGATTCTAGTAGCAACGTTTCTAAGGAGGTTATTCAAGCTGTTTGCGTGCAGGTGAACAGCAATGAGTACTGAATTAAAGTAGCCAAATTCACCAATTAGAATGGATGTCTGGACACTTTTAGTGCACTAACAACAGAACCAGCTTTAAATCACACTTCATGAATAAATCAATACTGGAGGCTGTTTTTATAATAAACCTAAGTATTAACTGAAAATCCAACTTTTGAAATGAAAAAATAATAAATAAATACTCTCTGTGATCATATGAGTTGCTGGTTTCTGCTGCTTTAAATGTCACACATTTCTGCTTTTCATTCACTGTAACTAATCTACTTGAAATCAGATACTGCAGAGTTTCACTGCATTCACAACAGGACAGGCGGAAGGTACACTCCCGGAAAAAAAGGTCTGAATCTGTCACTGGGGCAGTGCCCCTTTTGTCACTGGGGTGGTTCCCTCAAGGGTACATCTCAGTACCTTTAGTCAGGGAGCATAACTGTACCATAATCCATTGAAATTATATTTTCTAAGTTGTACTGACTCCACACACCCCGTCTCGTCTCCAGGCTTTTATTTTTGTTGTTCTGTTTTTAAAATGTTAGGTTATAAAAAGGTACAAATATGTGTTTTTTATTGGGACCTTAAAACTACTGTTACACCTTTGAGGGAATATTTACATTGTTTGTACCTTGATGAGTGAAAAATGTACCTGCACAGAACCTTTATTTCTAACAGTGTAGAGGGTAGGGAAAGCAGGTCTCTTCCCAGTTGCACCCTCATTGCATGATCCAGTCCATGTTTTCAACTCTTCACCACTTGGTCCAGTCCAAACTCCAGTCCATGCTCTAGCTAAGTTCTGGTTATGATATCATCAGACAGGAAGAACAAAAGATGCCTCCTTGGCTCCACCAACAGCTTTTGTTCACTTGTTTCCTGTTGCTTGTTTGCTGCCTATGTGATTATTCTCTGACTGCTTGGCCTTTTGGACTGCTTTGTCTTGACCTTGATTTAGCCCAGCCTATTTAACCCTGATAGCTTGGATATTTTGTATATAGATTCCCTTTTTGTAGATTTAGTAAATAGCGTCACCAGGGGGTATTCCACGAAGCAAGATTCCTCAGTTAGTCATTTCATTAAGGTACGACGACAAGAGCATCTGAACTCTAACTTTTGAAGTTTATCATTTAATTTAGTCCCAAAAACAGAAGAATATTGGCTAAGAAACCTCACTTCCTATACTGATAGGTGCTAGATGTAATAAGCAGCTCCACTGCAGTTCTATAAGTTACTAATTTTTAAAATTACTACAATACCATTTTCAAAAATGTTGGGACGCTGTGCAAAATCCTAATAAAAACAAAATGCAATGATGTGCAATTCATTTAAACTCTATATTTCATAGATAATAGTACAAAGCCAACATATCAAATGTTTAAATTGAGAAATTTGATTGTTTTTTGAAAAATATATGCCCATTTTGTATTTGTTGCCAACAACACGTTCCAAAAAAGTTGGAAACAGGAGCAACAAAAGTTGTGTAAAGTTGTGTAATGCTAAAAAAAACACCTGGTGGTTGATTGGCAACAGGTCAGCAACATGACTGGGTATAAAAAGAGCATCTCAGAGAGGTCTTTCAGAAGTTAAGATGAGGATTATCTTTAAAAAAAAGACTGCACGATCAAATAGGGCAACAATTCAAAAATAACGTTTCTCAACATAAAATAGCAAAGAACTTTTGCTTTTCATCATCTACGGTACATAATATCATTAAAAGATTGAGAGAATCTGGAGAAATCTTTGTACGCAAGGGACAAGGCCAAAAAACAGTATTTGCTGGCTGTGATCTTTGGGCCATCAGGCGGCACTGCATTAAAACCAGACCTAATTCTGTAGTGGAAATCACTAGCTGCGTTCCAAAGCCAAGGCTGCAGCCAAGGTAGTGCGGGTCCTCAGTAGGAGTGTCCTACGAAGACTCCTCCTTAGTAGTCTATTGGTCACACAAATGGAACAGTCCTAACGAGGCTGCGTGGTGACGCCATCAGAGCAGCGCCAAACTCGTGAGGGAACTGGTGAGAGAAAATGAAGCCTTTGTGTTTGTTGCTTTTTCATTTCTTCACGGAAATGGAGGAGATGTTCTTACGTAATATGATAAACTACACATACACAAATACTTCTTAATTAAATACGATATATGGATGATATTCGACATATGGACGAATGTTTTAATTAATCAGTGATTTTACACTTTATAAGGTAACGAAGACGAATTCAAGTATGTGAAGAACTTACATTTTAAAACAAACTCTGCTCCAATGACTTTTTTTTTCTGCCATTTTCGTGGTGCTGTTTTTTTCTCCTTTGCGTCGTTCGTGCGCATAGAACCATGGGTAACCGAAGGCCTGTAAGGATACATCTCATGTGTCCTTGAATCACTCCGAATGTAGGCTGCATTTCTGCTGCATATGAAGGATCTTTCCCCTTTGGAAACGGGCTGCCATGACATAGCGGGCAATAAATGCAGCCTAGGCTTTGGAACGCAGCTACTGTATGGGCACTGAAACACCTCTGAAAACCGCTGTCTGTGGAAACAGTTTGTCGCTACATCCACAAATGCAAGTTAAAACTCTAAAACGTAAAGAAGAACCCATATATAAACAGGACCCAGAAATGCTGCCACCTTCTCTGGGCCTGAGCTCATTTAATATGAACTGAGGGGAAGCAGAAAAGTGTCCTGTGGTCTGATGAATCAAAATTTGAAATTCTTTTTGGAAATCATGGTCTCCTCCAGGCTAAAGACCACTCAGCTTGTTATCAGTGCACAGTTCAGAAGCCAGTATTCATGATGGTATAGGGGTGCATTAACGCACATGGCATGGGTGACGTGCACATCTGTGAAGGCACCATTAATGCTGAACGATATATACATGTTTCGGCAACATATGCTGCCATCCACGTCTTTTTCAGGGAAGGCCTTAAATATTTCAGCAAGACAATGTCAAACTACATTCTGCATGTATTACAACAGCATGGCTCCTTATGAAAAAAGTACAGGTGCTAAACTGGCCTGTCTGCAGTCCAGATCTGTCAGCACTGAAGTAGCCTTACTTGTGAATGGGACTCAGACCACCGCAGCTCCTTCTCCTCTACATGAGTAGCTCATGTTGTAAACCAGAAGTCCTCATGACGCAAGGACTCTCTGCATGCCAGAGCCCGGATAGCTCAGTCGGTAGAGCATCAGACTTTTAATCTGAGGGTCCAGGGTTCAAGTCCCTGTTCGGGCGACCTGTTTATTTGTTACTGAACTTCACTTCGTGCAGCCAATCTGTGAGTCTTCCTTCCTGAGAGTACCCTGACTGTGAAGGTAGGAACGATTTAAAAAAAATGGGGTAAAGGTTTAAATACACTCAAGTCAGCTTTTATTTTTTATGTCTTGCTTCAACACTATAGTGTTAACCATGAACACATGGGGATATATTCTTTCAAATGGCATAAATTAAATAGTTAAGGTAAACAGAGTCATTCAGAGTGGTTTGGTGTGAAATGCTCAGTTCTAGAGAAACTTACCCAGTCAGTATTGTTCACAGTGGTGGTGATAGAAAGCAGACATCCACCTCTAATGGATTTCTGTTTTGCAACCAGCCAATAAACTCACAAAATGTGACGTAAGCGTAATGTGAAACTCAAACTTCATGATGTTGCTTTTTTTTAACCTCGGTCAACTTTACCTGAAAATATGAACAAATATCATCTAGAAGATGAAGAATATTTAAATCCTTCATTTCGTGTTTGGTCTCAGCGTCTCTCCAAAAGTGTTTTGCTGCGTCTCACAGCAACACTGCTTGCTTATATCTGGTACCACCATCTGTACTCGCGCATGCGCAGACTGAGAAATCCAAAAGAAATCTGAGTAAGAGTTTACATCCACTGAGAAATCTAATTAGTGAGCTAAAATCCAGCTCTCTTCATCAGATTTCTTGATCAGATTTCTAGATCCAAGTATGGTGTTTACATGACCATCTTAATAATCGGATAACCACAGAAATGATCGGATTACTGAGTGCATGTAAACGCACTCACTGTTTTATGATAGTTTGTGATAAGGTTTTGGCTTTAAATGTATATTAATCCAGAGGGGTACATGCAGGGCGTTGTGAAGCAAAATAGCCCCCAAATAAGTCAGATTTTTCAGATTTCTGACTAGTTTACCATCATCAACACTAAAAAACTCATTCTCGTGTAGGTTCACCGGTGGTTTTGGACAGTAAATAAAATGGCTATACTTGTGTTGTAGACATGGTGACCCCTGGTTCCTATCACCACCACTGTAAAGAAATCTGTAAGTTTCTCGACAAATGAACTATTTCACATCAAACCACTCTGAACGACTGTTTACATCTCAAGGACTAAATTATTCAAAAATTTTGAAAAACTGGTGGGATTCTCCTTTAAGACATTTTGTGACGTGCGAACTTTTCTACTGCTACTCAAGTCGTTTCCTGCAAAGCTGTCTCATCACAGTGACAGTAGTCTTACTTGTGAATGGGCTCAGACCACCGCAGCTCCTTCTCCTCTACATGAGTCTTCAGAAGTAGCTCATGTTGTAAACCTGAAGTCCTCATGATGCAAGAACTCCTTCCACGCCAGAGCCCGGATAGCTCAGTCGGTAGAGCATCAGACTTTTAATCTGAGGGTCCAGGGTTCAAGTCCCTGTTCGGGCGACCAGTTTGTTTGTTACTAAACTTCGCTCCATGCAGCCAATCTGTGAGTCTTCCTTCCTGAGAGCGCTCTGACTGTGAAGGTAGGAGAGTGGAGCCTTAATGCTCTTGTCACCTGACTGATACACTCAAGTCAGCTTTTATTTTTTTATTGAAATGTTTCTACAGTACACTATAGTGTTAAATATGAACACATGGGGATAAATTCTTTCAAAATACATAAAATCATAGTTACAGTCGTATCATTAATTAGAAATGATGATTAAATAATAAAACAATAAGCAATACTGGCTAACAAACTTTTCAAAAATTCTACATATGGTTGAGATGTAAACAGAGTCATTCAGAGTGGTTTGGTGTGAAATGCTCCCTTCTAAAGAAACTAACCGAGTCAGAAACGTTCACAGTGGTGGTGATAGGAACCAGACGTCCACCTCTAAAAGCTCCCTCACAGAAAGTTACTACATGAAATGGTTATGTATTCACTGCCTGATGTCTGAGACATTGTTTCATGATAGTTTTGCGATAAAGTTTTTGCTTAAAATGAATTTTGTCCATTCATAGCAGATGGGTACACGTAGGGTACTGTGAGGCAAAATAGTCCCCAAAGAACTCATTGTTTTACCATCATCAACACTAAAAACTCAGAAGACAGGTGTAGGTTCACCAGTCGTTTTGGATAGTGAATAAAATGGCTATATTTGTGTTGTAGATATAGAGTTCATATACATGCACTCAATAATCCGATCATAATCGGATTTCTACAGTTATCTGATTATTCAAATGGTCATGTAAACACCACACTCCGATCTGATTAAGAAATCTGATAAAGAGAGCTGGATTTTAGCTCGGTAATCAGATTTCTCAGTGCATGTAAACTCTTACTCTGATTTCTATGGGATTTCTCAGTCTGCGCAGGCGTGAGAACAGACGGTGGATGTCGCGAGACGCAGCAAAACACTTTTGGAGAGGAGCTGAAACCAAACAGGAAATAAAGGATTTAAATATTCCTCATTTTCTAAATGATGTATGTTCATATTTTCAGGTGGCGCAAAGTTTAAAAAAAAAAAACGACGTTTGAGTTTTACGTCACGTCTTCTTCTTTGAGTGTATTGGCTGGTTGCACAGTAGAAATCTCATTACTGTCTGACTCATGTAGACCCAGAGTTTCCCGTTATCTGATTACTCGAGAGCATGTAAACATGTTGATCAGATTACTGACAAAATCTGCTTTTCTGCAGTTATTGGATTATTAAGTGCACGTGAACGCACTCATGTTGACCCCTGGTTCCTATCACCAGCACTGTAAAGAAATATGAGTCTGTAAGTTTCTCTACAAATATGCTGTTTCACATCAAACTACTCTGAATGACTGTTAACATCGTAAGGACTGAAGTATTCAAAGAATTTGAAAAATTGGTGGTGTTCCCCTTTAACACGTTTTTTGTACCTCTACTTAATTTGTTCTCTGGAAAGTTATTTTCCTCTAAACCTGAGTCATTTGTCTCATCACAGTGACAGTAGTCTTACTTGTGAATGGACTCGGACCACCGCAGCTCCTTCTCCTCTACATGAGTCTTCAGAAGTAGCTCATGTTGTAAACCGGAAGTCCTCATGATGCAAGAACTCCCTGCATGCCAGAGCCCGGATAGCTCAGTCGGTAGAGCATCAGACTTTTAATCTGAGGGTCCAGGGTTCAAGTCCCTGTTCGGGCGACCAGTTTGTTTGTTACTGAACTAAACTTCGTGCAGCCAATCTGTGAGTCTTCCTTTCTAAGAGCGCCCTGACTGTGAAGGTAGGAACGAGTAGAAGAGTGAAGCTTTAATGCTCGCGTCACGTGACTGATACATTCAAGTCATTCATTTTTCATTGCAGTGCTCCAACAGTACACTATAGTGCCAAATATGAACACATGCGGATATATGCGTTCAAAATGCATGAAATCATAGTTACAGTCGTATCATTAATTTAAAAATTATAATTAAATAACGCTAATAAGCCACAGTTACTGCGATTTTATCACACGGAAGGTTGTTCTTTCGCACGACGTGAAGCGGAGTGCCTAAAAGTCCCTTCCCCGTCATAAAATCGCAGTAACGCACGGCCTCAAGTGGCTTACAGCAGAGAACCTGTAGAGGGGAGAATATGAGACCAAACGGCCTCAGAGAAAAGGTATCAGACCAAACGCAGGCCTGGTCGAGCATATACTGGTTCGTATAACTTAGAAAACTATTATGTATCTCGATATAAATGCCAGTATAACATTTCCAGTTTTTTCTGACGGTGTTTGTTCTGACGTTCAGTTTCACCAGATTTGAGTCATGACGATGGTTTTTCTCGAGACTCGAAGTTGTTTAGCTCGAGGAATGATGCCGTTCTGACTCGGAGGTCTAAGGCTGTCCTAAAATGTACCCCGTAGCCCCGCCCAGTGCTAATTAACATATATTTGCATGTGGGTCAGTTTGAAAACGAAATCGAAAAGTGGATAATGTAAAGTAAATGTCCAGCAGGTGGCGCTGATGTTCGTTTGCATTTGCCTTTTCATTATGACACTTAAAGCGCGTCCGCGCCGAAAACTGAATCACAAACCGTCACTTTGCTGTTGATTTATCAGTTTTGCATTTTCATTTTGTCAGATCTGCAGCCGATTGCTATGAAAAAGAAATGAGAACGTGAACACTGCATTCTGATTTTAGTTTTGACACATATTCTGCATTTCATGAAGAAAAGCCAAAGCCAAAGTGAAGCTTGGATTTTCTTGTCTCTATTAGCTTTTTCATTTTAGATTTGGCCATGAAAAACCAGAATAACGACTAAAATGAAATGACAAATAGCTGTTTTGCATTTATTTTTATTTTTGTCACAAATGGCCCGTGCTCATGTGAAAAATGAAATTGCCTATGTAGACATTTCATTTCATTTTCAATTTTGGCAGGATATTAGCGCAGATTTTGGAAAAAGAAATGGCAAAAAGAAGTTTGCATTTTCATTTTACGGTTTTAATTTTAATTTCTTTTTTGGCCATAGGGAGAATTCCCACTCTGCAATGTATTCCGAGTTTCTCAAACGCTAGAGGGCGCTCCCAAGCGAGTCCAAAATGAATGGCTTGATATGGAGCATTTGAGCAAAATCATAGTTTATAAATGCTTAAACATTTTTAATGTAAAAGGATACATTCATATACTGAACACTGAACAGCATAAAACATTTTAACACCGCTGTTATATTTTTAAGAGCTTTTAAACTCGAGTTATAGGAATTTAAAACGGCACCTCATGTATATTCATGAAGTCAGTGAGCGCGAACAGCCAATGAGCTGCTCCGCTCGCCAATCAATCATCACGCTCTAGCAGTAATGCCCGCTTCCTGCTCCCCACAACCCGTTTGCTGTAGAAAAAAGGACAGATATCGGTAAGATTTCTTAGTTTTTTTGTGAAATACATCCTTCTGCTTTCTAAAATTAAAGGAAAGTTCTGGGCGAGTGATTAGAAACTATTATAACTTTTCGTTTTTAGCCGTTGAGCGCCGTTTACTCCCATTATTGAGGTCTCGCTCGCGGGCGCCCTCTGCTGTTTAGCAGTCCGGTTTTTGATATAACACGGGGAATAGGAAGTGGCCAGGCTCCTCTTAAACCGGCTCTGCTTATAGCTTTTATAAAACGGCGGCCAACAAAAATTACGCCAAACACACATTTTTTTCCAGAAAATAATTAAAGCTATTATTATTCATAATAATGGACATAAACAAGTATTCCACCAACAAATGTAGCTCGTTCCTTTAGAGTACGGTGTTGTTGCCAAGCAACCATGGACCGCTGAATGAGGAGAAGAACATTTTGTCGCCCATCGCTGCGTACACTTTTTAAGTTTTTGTCGTATAACAATGAACATATTATAACACAGCACTGCTTAATGCATAAAAAATCGCTTTATAAGTACTTTTGGTCACCAGTCTTATATAGCGCCAACCCAACGGCGCACCTCTTCTCATGCTGGGGCTGAATCTCAAATGGCGCCCTGCTCCCTACATAGTGCACTAGGAAGGAATTGTAGGAATGTACATACTGGCTCCAGCATGCTGTATCCCATCGGTGCAAAACAATAATACAACAGAAAAACAGTCATAAAAATTCAGTCACATCCATACTTGACAAATGCACTATTTGGCTGTAGAAGCTAGAACTTCAAAACCTCCGTAGCTAGCACACTACTTAGGGAGTACGTAAGGCGTTTGGGATTCAGCCTGGGTTTGACGCTACGTCTGACTGAAACATGGACATTTGAAGCATGTAAGTCATTCAAGTGACATTCTTCAGACTTTTATATTGCCGTTTTACTGTTAATCGTACTGTAAGTGCTTTAATTCAAGCCTGTGATATTAAAGATGGAGTTGTTTAGACTGTTAGTCATCTCTTAGCCTGTTAGCTAGCTGATCGGCCTAGTTCTAGTTAAGAACATAAGTTGTAATCCCCTAAGTTTAAACAAAAAACGGGTTCTTACTTAATCAGTACACTCGGTGGTCCATGAGAGCAGCATTACATTAAAAGATTATTCCTTTAACGGCACAAGGGTTTTTCGTGCCGTGGCGCAGTGATACAGAGTTTAGTTGTTGTGAGGCGGTCGCTGTACCGTGTATTTTACAAAGGCTTCAAACGCAGCTCAGCCAATCAGATTTTAGGACCGGAATTATCCGTTTTACAATCCATAATAATACATTCTTTAAAATGGTTCTTTATGCACTGAACGTTTCTTGTAAAGATTTTTATTTTTGATCTATAATACATATGATAAAGATCTTTAAAAAACCTTACAGTTACTTACAGAAAATATCACATTCATAAGGCCAGTGTAATGTGTATGAAAGCCCAGCTACATTTATGGCATTTGGCAGAGGTGTTACACACTACACCATACCAACCACTACACCATACCAACCAGTACACCATACCAACCACTACACCATACCAACCAGTACACCATACCAGCCTCTACACCATACCAACCAGTACACCATACCAACCACTACACCATACCAACCACTACACCATACCAACCAGTACACCATACCAACTTCTACACAATACCAACCACTACACCATACCAACCACTACACCATACCAACAACCACACCATACCAACCAGTACACCATACCAACCAGTACAACATACCAACAACTAAACCATACCAACCACTACACCATACCAACCACTACACCATACCATCCAGAACACCAGACCAACCAGTACACCATACCAACCACTACACCATACCAACAACTACACCATACCAACCACTACACCATACCATCCAGAACACCATACCAACCAGTACACCATACCAACCACTACACCATACCAACAACTACACCATACCAACCACTACACCATACCAACCACTACACCATACCAGCCACAGCTGAAAGCGTTCTGTATGGATCTTTTCTCCTTTTATCGATAAGTGATATCTCTTTAAAGGTCCTTATTATGTATGTATATATATATGTATGTATGTATGCATGTATGTTATTATAATCATTATTATTAAAACTGCACACTTAAAAAAGATGGTTCTTCAAGGGTTCTTTAGGAAATGGTTCTATTTACAGCCATGAGTTCTATATAGAACCATTGCATGTTTAAATGGTTCTTTGCATGGTGAAATGGTTCTTTAGACTGATGGAGAATGTGTTGTATATGGTTCTATATAGACCTTTTTTGAAAATTGTTTTATATAGCACCAAAAAGGTTCTGATGTTGTTTCAAGCTTGACATCGTACCAATAGCGGAACCCTTTTTGGGGCTTTATAGAAGCATGTACAACACATTCTCCATCGATGTGAGGAACCTTTTCACCATGCAAAGAACCATTCAAGGTTCAAATACATTTATATGCTTATTTATGTGTGTATGTGCTGTATGTAGGCTAATTTGTTTATTGTTTATAATTTGTTTATATAAGAATATTTTATTTCCAGTTCTGCAATGGAAAAGAAAACTGCACAATAACACTATTTTAAAGCAAACCCAGAAACCAGAGAAAGTAAAATTGATTTGCAGGCTGGAAGAAATTGGAAAGTAGAAACATGTGAGTGGTCATGTGGAGCTGTCTTGTGGGCCAGATGTGGCCTGTGGGGGCTGCAGTTTGAGACCCCAGCTCTAAACTGTAATCTAGGCTGGGCTAATACATCCACTATATGTCCAAAAGTTTGTGGACACCCGCTTATCCAAATTATCTTCTAAAATCAGTGGTGTGTATGGGGGGCGAGTCTTTTCTGTGATGGTCTCTGCTTATCTGGTATTTCCACTTCTCAGTTCTCTTCATACCTGAGGTTAGACCTGAGTATCTGATTTCATATCTGCAAAACACTGTCTCTACAGCAACAATACTCTGTGCTGCTAGTTGATGTTGGGTAATTTTCCACTTTGTGATAACTTTATGTTGCTGTTGTTTGCTGTGGTAAAGTCCTCAAGGAGCCATTCTCTTTTAAAGCTTTCTGCTTCAGCTATCAGTCTATCCGTGTAGTGCAGGCCTTATGCTATTCTCATTGGTCTCCAAAACCTCTGACAGCAAAATGGTTTTGTTAATCCCATCTCTTCTCCTAAGTGGGGTTTACAGGACAGAATTCAGAAATCAACAATCTTTCATTAATACAATGTTGAGATAAGCTGTATTTCTACTTTATTTTTCTCTTAAGAGAGACGTTCATGCCTTTGCTTTCATTAGCCTAGCTTAACCTAGCATGATGATCTTCTGCAAATGTTATTTCATAAGTTAAAGTATGACTCTTACAGAACTTAAATGTGTAAGATTTCAACATACTTTGAAATCTCAGGTGCTTGAATGCAGCAGGAGTGACCAAAATGTATCACTGTCCCAAAAAACATCATGGATTTTTTGGTTGACTACATCCTTTTTTACCTGAAAGGAAGAAAAACACCTAAAAATCTGGCACTAGTAAAACTAGTTTTGCTTCTGAAATGCAACAATAGCTTTGCCATTCAACTCAGCCATATGAAGCAATGTGCTGGGTTAGCCTTGGAGAAAATGCTAATTAGCTCAAAATCTAAGAGCTGAATGATCCAGCAAGTTTGCATATTTCAGGCCATGAAATTGAAAAGAATTGATTCTATGATTCACAGTTTACTAAATCGTAAATGAAAACACAAAAAATTATCCAAGTTAAATAATAAATTGTTAAATATGTTGTGTTTTTTTGTTATGCCCAGGAAACTAATAAAAATGGAAGTATCCTTGAACCTCATCACTAACTAAGAATGTGAATATCTTTGAATATGCATGATAATTCTGCTGTAAAACTCAAACTTCATGGTGCAGCTTTTTAAAAAAAACAAACATTGCACCACTTTACCTAAAATTTTGAACGTATATCATCTAGAAGATGAAGAAAATGTAAATCCCATCAAGCGTGAATTTGGTTTCAGCTCCTCTCCAAAAGTGTTTTGCTGCGTCTCGCGACATCCACCGTCTGT